GACGATTCCAGGAAGAACTTACGGAGCGGGGCGAGGAGAAACAGGAGAAGATGGAGCGTTGTACCTCCATGGCGAGGAACTCTTGATGCGGAGAGGCTCTGCAGCTGGAGGAAGAAGTCGCTACGCTGCTGCAGTGAGGAGAGGCGGCTTGGAGGCGGTGGATGTTCGTCGGCCGGTCGCCGCGGTGCGCCAGGAAACAGGACCGGAATCTTTCCCGTAACAACAGGATGGCTCGCCTCTTGCTCATCTCTTCTTCTTTTTTCTTTTTATTTAAGAATAATATTGCTCATCTTTTTTTTATTGAGAAATTCTTGCTCATCTCTTCTATATCACAGCTTGGCTTGGCGAATGATTGGGCTGGAATGGCCCCATGACTTTGGGCTTATATGGGCCCGTGACGACACTGCATAGGCCATAATAAGGTCGTTCGAGAAAAAAAGAACGCCTAAAAAACAAATTTTCTTGAATTTCCATTCCCAAGGGCAAAAATTCCTCAATCCCACATCTTGCATACTGCAATAAACTTTTTCAAAATATATTTTTTGCGGGAATTTTTTAAATATTTCCACGCACATGCATATCCGTATCTGCGTTTTCAATATGTCATTTTTTTTCCTGAGCTTTTGTTTTAAAAAAGAGTTGTTTCTGCTCCACACCAACAAACCCTGCCACCCTCTCCTCTTTCCCCCCCTCTCCACCACCGTTGGGCTAAGCCAACATGGCTAACGGCGGCGGCGAGGCCGATGCACCACACATCCACCTAGAAAGCAATCCCCATCCTCTCGCGTCCTCTTCTCCTCATCGCCATCGGTGTCCATGGCCGGCCTTATCGCGGTGCTCCAGTCCACTCACTGCCCTCATGGTCGATGGCGTGCCTATTCGAGTCCCCTTGGTCGTTGGTTCAAATTTGACCGCTGCGTCAACGAATATTCCAGCCATTCTTCCCTCGGTTGTGACCTTCAAATTTGGTAGTTATTCTTCGTCGCATGGTGGCAATGCCTCCCCACCTACATTCGATCGTTCCTTGGTCGAATCCCTTTGTATTGCTGTCGAATCTGGCACTCTGCCTCCCCTTGGTCCTCAACTGGTGCATGCTCACGACCTCGTTGTTCAAGCTGGCAATGGGGATTACCTGGGCGGGTATTGGACTCCCATCCCTGTTCACATGACATGATCCCCATGCCCATCCCCGTCCCCATCCCGTCCCACGGGAATAATAAATTTTGCATCCCCGTCCAGTCAGGGTTTTCAGCCCTCTAGGGAAACCCATGCCCTTAATCAGTAGAAACATTCAGCAACATTTCATTAGAAAAAAACATTATTTTAGCCCAATAAACAACATGTGAGGCCTTTTGGGGTGTATGTTGTGGCTAGGTCAGGATTTTCTTTGGGCAGTTTTGGCCAGATGGCAGGGATGGGTAGAAATTTGGGTGGGTATCTGCAAGAATTGCCCGAAGTTTGTTGATTTAGGGATCACATGTAAGGCCTTCACGGGTAAGGCGGGTAACGGGCACGGTAGTGCTACCCCATCCCCGTCACCGTCTTATGTGCTGGGTAACGTATTTGACTCAACATCTTCAACATGGGCATTTAAACTGGCCCATCCTTGTCCCCTAATAGAGTAATTACCCACTCGACTGCAGGTAACGGTTAAGCATTGTTGGGTTGAATCGTCATTGTGTTTTCGGTGCTCCTCGTCCTTCCCTCGGGATCTAGCGCTCTGACTTCCTATCAATCACAATTTAAGTGTCCCCCACTGTTGCCTCATCCTCCCGGGGTTGATCAGGACTGCTTGTCTTTTGGTCATTTCTGGCGTGTGTAGTTCTTCCACTAATCCTTTGGCTTTGACACCATGTATCCAGGTTGATCTCTATCCTTCCAATCTTCCCCTTCTTTGGCTACGTGGCTGTAGACCTAGTGATGCGTGATTTGGTGGGCCATGCCACATCTATGTGGTCACCTTCTTATTGTGTCAATGTATTGTTTGTCATGATGTCATGGTTGTCTCCATCCTAACACCCATTATAGCACCCCGGGATCCACACTATGAAGATCTAGCATCCTCCGCATAATATCAATCCCGAGGTGCCTACTTTCACACAATTTAAACATTGAAAATGTGCATGCCGTGTGGCAGGGCGGTCTGAATCACAACACATATAACAAAATAATCTGCAACAACAACATATATAAATATAAAACAACTCCAGATTAGTACATTCAACTACTCTTCGTGTGCATCAGCCATTTGCCACAGTGATGGAAAATTCTGGAGTGAAAACAAGCTCTTTAGAGCAGACTGTGCTATCTGACGAAGCGCATATCTCGCTGGTTACGAATAGCTCCTCGGAGGAGGATTCAGAGATAGATGACCAGTCCTATCCCCCCTGAGGTGTATGCTCTAACTTGGTAGGGTTATGTTGCTCATATCATGCATATGGTGTCTTGCATTGCTGTGTCATTTGATTATTTTAGACATGCTTTATGTGAATGCCACCTGTTTAGTGTCTAATTACCATATATGTGAATTATGCATTGCCATCTTGTTGCAAGACATTATATATGTGAATTATGCAATGCTATCTTGTTGTAAAGGCATTATATATGTGAATTATGCAATGCCATGTTGTTTAGCCAATCATCATATATGTGAATTATACCATGCTATCATTCTTGTGTATTACGTGTTCCATTTGTCGACAACGTATGTATATTCCACTACTATTCCTGTGCATCAGCCATTTGAAGCGGTGATGGAAGTATTTGGAGTGAAAACAAGGTATTCAGAGCAAACAGTGCTACCTGTTGAAGCAGACATCTTGCTAGTTACAGAGAGCTCCTCAGAGGAGGATTCAGAGACTGATGACCAGTCCTATTTCCCCCCTGAGGTCTATGCTCAAACTTGGCTGGGTTATATTACCCATGTCATGCATGTTGTCTTGCATTGCTTAGTTTTTACATCATATATGGATTGCCATATGCTTACTTGCTTACTATATAAATTATATATTTGAATTATATCATGCCATCATGTTTACATACACAACATCTATCTGAATTATGGCATGGCAACCCATTTAATAAAGACATCATATAGTTATATCATCTCATCCTGTTTAGTGTTTACAGTCATCATATTTCGAATTATGTCATTCTATCCGTGAATTATATCATGCTATCATGTTTCCATAGGCGGCATGTATGTGAATTATGGCATGCCAACCTATTTAATAAACACATTATATAGTTATATCATGTCATCCTGTTTACATAGTCATCATATTTTGAACTATGTCTTTCCATCGTTTTTAGTTAGCCATCATAATGTGAAATTGTGTCATGCTATCCTGTTTAGTTAGGCATCATATATGTGAAATTGTGTCATGCTATCTTGTTTGGTTAGACAACATAACTGTGAATTATTTCATGCCCTCTTTTATTCCCCACTATCCGTTGCACCTGTCTATCATACAATGTCTGTACATTCAATTACTTTTCTTGTTTATCAGCCATTTGAATTGGAGAAGGTGATGGTAGTATCTAAGGGAGTAACAACACGGTCTTCAGAAAAGATAGTGCTACCAGTTGATGCAGATAGAACCACGGTTGTACTTGCCCAAGAACCAGCCAAACCACACATAACCCAGACTCTCACAGATTGTACCCCTACCCAGTTGGACAGAGAACTAGCTACACCCCTTCTAACCCCAACCCCGGCAGATAGTAACCTAGTTCTAGTTGACACAGCACTGTCTCCACCACAGAGCACCCAAACACGAGCTGTTAGTAAGGGAACCGCAGTGCCCAAAGCACTAGGACCACCACTCTGAATCCCAACTCAACGCTTAAAGGAGAAGAAGAATTGTCCTCAGGTCGGGTTCTGGAGCTATGGTTCATATTCCTTTGCTCTTGCATCACTGTATTTACTCATACCAACTATTTTCAAATTTGAAGGATGGAATTGAAACTCTAATGGCACAACAGGTATGTTTTAAACCTGTTTCTTTAACTGGTTTGCTGTTGTAACTTGCTCTATATTGATTTCAGTTTCAATTGAATAAACATTTATGTTCTCATGTCATGCACATTACAAGTGGTGTTATTGCTCTATAGTTTCCCACACTTATATTCTATCTATTCAGCTTTGTCTTGAACAAATTTTATTTGAATTGTGTCTCTATCTTGATTTGGCAACAAAAACTAGAATGATATAGATCATAAAGTGACCCTGGTACATAGATATATGTTTGTTTCATGTTGTAATCCTGTCCACTTTACTACTGAACTGATTTACCAAAATGAGTTTCATATACAACGTGGTAAACCTGTGATGTGTCTGCTTGTTTCTCTTTTAGAATGCGGACAAAATATTGGAGAATAGTACCCCATTATGCAATGGTAAAGGAAGTAATGCAGATAAGGTTCAAGATAGTGAGACATCCTTGTTGGTCTCCAAGAAAGCTAATAAAAACTATCTTGACAAGAGTGAGAAAACCCAAAAGTCCTGTCCTGATGTAGTGTTCGAGTTACTGGCCACTACTGCTGGCACAAGCTCTTCGAACTCGCTGCCTGAATTGGTTCGTCTTCTTGAGTCACAACTTCAAGTTGAAAGACATCGATCAGATGTGCTGCGACAGGAAGCTGAAGAACTGAGGAAGTCCTTGCAGAATTCAGATGCATACTTTCTAGTGCAACAGCAAGCACTGGAGGATTTAAGCGCCAAACAAGAGAAAGTTAATAAGCTTGCTAAGATTCTTGCCAGCATTATGTGTACCCAGGATATTGTTTCTTGAGCTCTTGTGAAGTGGTTTCAGTTCTGGACTTGTTTTTCTGCGGCGTTTGTCTTCACTGGTCGCCAAATTTGACAACCAGTGTATATGATATGCGGCTTTCTTCCTTATATTTGCACTGGTGGAGAACTTTGATGCCCAGTGGATGTAATATGTGTAATAGCCGTGATAACCTAGCGTAAGTTGCTTGCATATTTATTTCCTTGTTGTCTTGTTTATTTGTCTGCTTGTAGTCAGTGCAGTTCTTTTTCCGCGGTTTGCTAGTGGCCGCAATAACCTATTTTTTAAAACTAGGCCACAATAACCATGGGCTACATATTTACTGTAGTTACCATGGGCCTCCTAAGGGTCATATAAACAATTGGCCTTCTAAGGGTCATATAAACAATGGGCCTTCTATGGGCCATAGCATCAATGGGCCTTCTACGGGCCATATGATTGATCGGCCAAACATGGG